CCCAGTTGTCGTCCAGCCCCAGTTGTCGTCGGTTTGAACAAGTGAACTTGGCCTCAGCAACGATAGATAAATGTGGCCTCAGTATAGATAATCGAACTTGGTCCCGTCAATAACTGAATCCAAAGACGAGCGAATGACAACTCGGGATAGTGTGAATGAGCCCGACACCAGTTAACGTTGGCATGAACAAATAAACATGGAATTGGCTCCTCGTTGGTTAGAATAAATAATTTTAATTTGGCCACTGACGATTTGAATGAATAATCTTGGCTCCAACTGTGTCGGGTTGAGCAAATTTGTTCTTGGCTTCCGTCACTTTGAGTAGATAAATTCGGCCCGCGGCAAGATAAATGAATTCGACTCTTGTGTTCGTCTGTTTGAATAAGATTTGACCTCGGCGTTGATAACTAGACCCGGAGACAAGCGAATGATAAATTGACAATGTGTACGAACTCGGCCCTAACTAACGTCGGCATGAATAAATAAACTCGGTCCCCATCGGTAGGCGATGAAGTCGGCTCCTGGTGATTGGAGTCGGATACGAATACATTGATTTAGTGCGGCTCCGCCCAGCTTGGCGTGGGCATTAGTAAGATTAATCCAGCTGTATTTTATGAGCTCAACTTTAGAGACGAAAAAGCTCGGCCCCAGCGATCGTCGACGTGAATAAATGAATATGGCTCCGAGATTTGAATAAATAATCATGGCCCCGACGTTGATAAATGGATCCGGCTTCGCAATAAATAAGTGAATTCAGCTCCGGTATTTACCAGTTTTGAATAAATGACCTTGGCGCCGGTTCTTGTTTGTTTGAGCGAATGGACTCGACCCTCAGCATGGATAGGCTATTTTAGCTTCGGCACAGATAAACCTGACACCGGCATGTTAAATAAAGTTGGCCCCGACATATGTAAGTAAATTAAGAATCGGGCAGATAATGAATCGGTCAAATGGGTCGTTCCCGTCAGTGAGCGCCGATATAAATGAACAGAGACTTGTTGTCGAGTGAAAATAAGTTGGGCCGAACTGTTCACAGCTTCTTTGTATGAAGATCTCGGTCCAAAGTAATTATATTGGTCATAGATCCAGTTTGGCTCAAAATAAATTTCATTTGGGCCACTCCAAAAAAAAAAAAGTAGCTGACTCTTCTTGGACATTCTTTTCTCTTTCTCCTCATCCGTAAAGAAAAATCAACGCTTGTTCCAAATTCAATGATGTTCAATTCAATAATTTGGCAGGATCCCGTCGGAGTAATCGAAAGTCAATTGTGGGTTGGAGAGGTGACTTCGACCGACGGCTAAGGAGTCGGAGGGATGAGGTCGGTTAACTTCTGAAGTTCGGTGATGGTGAAGGTTGCTTGTGAAGTCAGATCTGCTCAACGTCGGACCTGCTTGGTGTCCGAAATCAAAATTAGGACGAGTTCAGAATTGCGATTCTGAAATGGGCCGTGGTTATTTTGGCTTGACTCTGAATTCAGAGTTTCGATAAAGATGAGTGTTGGGCTCAGACGTGTCGTGGTCGGCTTGAGCTGCTGAGATCGGTTTGTGGGTATGAGGTCGGTCCGACTGCGAGTTGTGATGTCCGAGCTTATGTTGGCCGGCAACCAAGGTCGAGCCGGAATGTCGGGTTATCGGGTAAGATGGCGACGGGAAAAGACATTGATGTCGGTCACAGAAGTACCGAAGTCGGGATGCGAAGGTCCCGATATCGCGATGTCGGTTTGTGGAAGTCAGGGTGCCGAGGTCGGGTCTCAGTAACTGAAGTCGGAGATGTCGGATGCTTGTTGGGCCGACATGTTGAAGTCGGTTGTGACCGATCTGTGGTGATGTCGATTTCGGCCATCATGGTGCCGAGGCAGGCGTTAATCAGATTTCCAGGCCCTTGTTGATGGTGATGCCAGTTTATTTTCAGATCTGCTCTTTGTTGTCGGCGAATTGAGGTCGGTTCGAGGCGACGTCGATACATCGGTTTGCGTTGGGACCTCGGTAAGTCAAAGTCGCAATGAGGTCGGATGGAGATGACGGTGATGACAACGACATCCAAGTTTGTAGTTGTGAGGAACTATGTCAGTCCCGGCTAAGTCTTGTTCAGGGGCTCGTTATGAGCAGTACTCACTATTGAGATCAGCCAACGGCAAATCGGGAGTCCATTGGCTGTGGTGAAATCGGTCGGCTAAGGCTGAACTTGTCGGCAGCCGAGGAAGAGAAATCGGTTGTGTACGGCTGTTGCTCGCATCGATGTCGGTCTGCAAAGAATTTTGCCACGACCGAAATTGGATTTCCAGATTTGGGCACAACCAGGTAGGCAATGTTTGATGTCGTTGAGGTCAACGTCGCTGAGGTGGATTCTCCAAAATCGCGGACTCAGATGGTGGTGAAGAATTCGGCCCTGGTGATCAAGGTCGCGTTTCGAGGTATTTCAAGGTGTTCTGATTTGGGGGTCGACAATGGTCTGTAGTGGGCCCCCGACTTCTTACTCGAAGGTTTGATTTGATCGGCGATAATCCTCCAGGATCCGGCTGAGTCTCATAGTTCGGCGACGATGTGTGTTGAGGTAGGCCCCAGAAACAGCAAAATTTGCTCGGCTGCAAATTGGTTTCAGCAATAATAAGGGAATACCGAAGTCAGTCTGTGTAGCTGAGTTGTTGTCGCTACATCGGAGATTGAGATGTCGGGTTCTAGTGAAGTCGGGCCGAGGTGTCGGGTTACGGTTACGTTGACTCGGTTTCGTAACGTAGTCGGGTGTAGTGGGCCCCCCAGATATTGGACGGTAGCATCGTTGTGTGGTGTCGTGGAAGATTCCCGTGAGACCACCGGCCATGGCTATCGATAATCTTCAATTTTATTTTTTATTTTATTTTTTTTTTTTTGACGCAGCAGGCGTTAGGGAAATAATATTAGAGAGACAAGAGGAAACTGAAGGGCGATGACTATACTGGTTACAGGAAAGCTGTAGCACAAAATATTTGTTTCTGCAATCTTATTTCGTCCTTAGAAATATGCAGAACATACTGTGATAGAAATATTCAAAATTGGCTTACGTAAAACAGAGTATTGAACATTGAATAATCTGACTTAGCTTGAGATGTTTGTCGTACGGTAGAGAAGCGACCGTTTGCTGGCGAAGATTAACCCGAATAAATTACGGGCCCTTCCTCTAGCGCCAAACTTTGTTAAATGAATTTGTAACAACATAAAATGTACACCCCTATTCCGTGAATAGTCGATGTAGGATGAACATG